TTTTTTTTTTTCTTTTTTCGTTTTTCTGCTACTCGGAATTGTCTTCTCATAAAACTGTTCTCCAATAAATTCCAATAGACACTGTTGTTTAAAGTTTTCTTTTTTCCTTTAAATCACTTCTATAATTTTGCGTAGAAAAAAAAAAAGAATCAAACTGTAAAATTTTTAAAATTTATCAAAAAAAAATTTTTTTTTGTACTCTTCAATAATCTTTATTGTTCAATAACAATTTACGTTGTTTACCAAAATTTTAGAATTACTTTTAACATCAACGATGTTTTATCGTGGTAAACAACAGCGCACTTAAAACTAATTTTCTTATCATAACTGTCTGGTAAAAATTCTGGCTTGTTGCATAATATTGATGATGATGATGAAGATGACAACGACGACGGTGATTATAATGGTTCATCGAAACAATTTTCACTATTTGTAGGAACCGGGTAAAAACGAAGTCAAAATTTTTGCTGACAGTAGTTACACATACAAATCTCACATACAAATTTCTGTTCTCGTGTGACAACAACTCACTGATCACCGTTGTTGTTTTTCTTGTTGCTGCTGCTGCTGTCGTCGTCGTCGTCGTCGTCGTCGTCGTCGTCGTCGTCGTTGACGTCGTTGTCATCATTGCTGTTATCTATGCCATTTGCTGTTTACTGGTAGATACTGAACATTTTACAATAGCATAGTGATGGATACGTAAACAAAAAGTATAACTTTATTTACTTATTTATTTTTCTTTGAAAGATAGAACGAACGGAGGAGGAAGGAGAAAGAAGGAGAAGGAAAGAGGTGGGAAGTAGTTATTCAGAAATACTAATTGAACTAGAAAAATAACAGTTTTCAGTCAGAATTGATGAGTATTAAACAATTGAGTGACAAAGTTTCCAGTTTTTTTTCTTTTTTATGATGGAACAATTATGGGTAATTAGGAAGAAAATTACTCTTAGAAAACAGTACTTGAACGAAGAATTTGTTTTGTTGGTGAATTGAACAACTTGGCAGTAAAATTAATATTTTCAAAAGGTAGTT